TGTCTGTGTGTCTGTGTAACTGTAACTGGTTGAGTATCTATGTTAGGTCTAGGGTATATCTGCAATTCCATTATATCCAATTCTGTGTAAAGTACAAGTTTTAAGATAAAATCCTCTTGCATGCCACTACTCTACATTTCTAGCTGCTACTTAAATTCTAAAGAAATCACTTTGCTGATGCTTGTATTTAATTTTACCTTTTAAAAAAGAAAACAAATATTGTCTTCTCTCTCACACCTGTTATTTTTTTTCTCCTTGACCTATTTTACACCTTTCCACTCTGCACAAATCACAGCTCTTTTGTTTTGCACCAGGGAGAGGAGGTTCGGTGTCAGAATGTTGTTACATGTGCAGGACTTTACTCCGACCGTATTTCAGAGATGAGTGGCTGCAATCCTGATCCTCGAATTGTACCCTTCCGAGGTGATTATCTGCTGCTGAAGCCAGAAAAATGCTATCTTGTGAAAGGAAATATTTATCCGGTAGGTAATGACAGGCCTGCCTTCTCACTCTTCTGACGATGGCTGTGGGCGGGAGGAAGGGAGGAGGACATGTTAACCAAGTCAGAAATAACAGCTATTTGCACTGTGTGTGCACACATTTCTTTTTTCCCTCTCTCTCGCGGTTAGATGCCTACTGATTCTGCGGTCTTGCAGTTGTAATCAGTTGCCCACACTGCATGTCTTCAGAAAGCATCAGAGCCCATGGCAGGTGCTATCAAGAAGGGGCCGGATTCTTCCACCTCTCTGGTGGAGGGAGTACTCACAGGAGAGCTTTCTCTGATGGCACTTCCAGATGCCCAGCCCTCTTTCTCAGTGCACCTTCTGCAGAGTAGAAGAGTAGACCACCCTGTAGTTTTAAGAGGTAGAGCACTGAGCTGTTCAAATGGGAAGTTCATTTCCACTGTCTGAAGTACCTGGAATTGAATCCCCTAAAATATATTACGTTGACCCAAATGAAATTGCCCATAATCAGTTGTTTGGTATTTTTGACTTCGCCACAACATCAAATTCAACCCGGTACACTCCCATCTTGCATACACCTGTGCTGTGAATATGGTGCCGGTTCTTCTGTTTTCCTGGCAGCTCTGATTTTCATTTCCAGCCATCTACATCCCTGGTTGTGGGACAGAGAACCTGAAGTAGGACAAGCAGGACGGTTCATCTTTTGTTTCCTTCTTCCTTTTACCCAAATACATGAGAACCCAGGATAGTGTGCGTTTGGGCCAATACCATCAGTGTTTCCTGTGTGTTGTTTCTAAACAGAAACCCGTTAATAGAAAAGAATATCTGAGTACAGGCCATAAATAATGTAGATTAAATGTATGGGAAGGGAGTGTTTTGTTTTACTGATTGAATGTTTGCGTCTATACTTATAAAAACGCACTATGAAATGGGACTCACCCTTCCTTGCCGTGTTGAACCCTCAGGTCCCAGACAGCCGGTTTCCCTTCCTAGGAGTTCACTTCACACCGAGGATGGACGGCAGTGTTTGGCTAGGGCCTAATGCAGTTCTTGCCTTTAAACGTGAGGGTTACAAACCCTTTGACTTCAGTGCCAGAGATGCTATGGATACAATTATCAACAGGTAACAACACTATTTACAAAAGTGATCTTACCTGCTTACGTTTTCAATGTGGGAATTTTGTTTTTCTTAACAGTACACTTATTGGATAAAGTTTACATTTGTGATTAACAGATGACTTTTTAATTAATAGAAATCAAGAGCTTTGCAAAGTAAGTGCAATGCTGGAACTACTTCAAGAAAACCCCAATGAGCTAGTTAAAGAGAGTAAAACCAAGAACATGTCACTCCACTGACAATTCAAATATTGTATTGCTAACCTTCCAGTTTGGGTTTTTTTTAATTAGGTAGTTTCGTTTGATAGCATCAGTTCAGGTCAGTCACCATCATTTTCTTAACCACTGGGTACATTGGTGATAACCAAAGTTCTTCTCTTTTGTGGAAGATGCGCAATGCTTTTGTGTTGACGCGAGTCAGCAGCCATCCCTGTTACAGCGTACTGATGCTCTGGTTGGGTCATCCTGTCAGTGCTTCTCTCTCCTGGGGGCTTCACCCAAAAGGCACTGGACAGCATTCTACGATAGTCTTGGTTTTCACCCTCCAGAGAGTCCGACAGGTCACCGAGGGAAGACCTTCCAGCATGTGTGCTTGCAAAACTGCATGCATTCATGCACAGCATTGCTGCGGGGCTCCAGTTCATCCATGTACAGTGTATGCAAAGTTCATTGAAACATGTCTCTACAAGCAGTGGACAGATGACAAGGTCTCTCTGTCTGAGGCTCAGAGGTTGCTGTCAAAAAAAAAAAATGTCTAGTTAAATAGTGGCTTCTCATGATAGTGGGACAGGAGGAAGGTGAAAGGAAATAGAGGAAAGAACTAGGAAGTAAAAGCTATTTATAGAGGTATAGCTATAGGCATGTATATATGAATATATTAATTTATAATGTTGGAGAGAGAGGTCAATGTATTATATTTATATGTTAAGTATTATGATAGCAGAGGGACTTTGGGCCTCTACTCAAGGCCTCCCTAAACACAAGAACACTTTGGCCTAATAACCTGGCACTCTTTAATACTCACCTTCCCAACACAATTGCTGAAGACAAAATGGGTGCATAAGCAAATGTGGGAAAGAAAGCAGATGGTACCCGGTTATCAAAAGATAATAGTGTCTGAGGTCTTAAAGGCTTGAAGTTAAATAAGCGGCCATCTATCAGGGAAGCAAATAAACCTACATGGGAGAAGCACACCAGCCTGTGTGATCATGAGGTCTTGATGGGATCAGGTATCCGGTATCAAAAGATCCAAAACAAACAATTATATCGATGTGAAAGTTGGGGGCTGGAGTGGAGACATTTGGACATCCCCACACAGAAGGGTTATAAGGAAGGGACAATTTAACCAGGTTGCAGTATAGCACCGACAAAACACATATCATTTCTCTAGTTCCTGAATGTCCCCCCCCTCCCCTACCCCCCAACCCCCACCACTACCATGACCTATTTCTACCTTACAAATCTGGCTAGACCGGAGAACACACATTGATACAGATAAGAGCCCTCAACACATGGAATTCAGGACTAATAAAACCCACAGGAACAGTAGTGGGAGTAACAATATCATGTGGGGGAGAAGGGAAACACATCACAAGGTTGAATATATAGTCACCACCACCACCTCCTCCACCCCCTGAGGGGGACAAATAACAGATATGTGGGCGAAGGGAGACAATGGACAGTGTAAGACATGAAACAACAATAATACATAACTGATCGAGGATCCACAAAGGTGGTGGGGGGGTGGGGAAAAAAGGAACTGATACCAAGGGCTCAAGTAGAAAGAAAATGTTTTGGAAATGTTGATGGCAACATAGGGACAAGTGTGCTTGATACAATTGAATGATGGATTGTTATAAGATTTATAAGAGCCCCCCCACCCCAATAAAATGATTAATTAAAACGAAAACCCAAGAGAAAGAAAGAAAAAAGTGGCTTCTGAGGAGATCAGCTGGGCCAGTTAAATTCTAGGCAGAGGGGTCAGCTCCGAAGGTGATGGTGCCTTTTGGGGGGTATCAGACAGTTGCCTTGTAGGTTTGTCTGTTTTTTAATCATGGGGTTGATCAGGAAGACGTTTTAAGAAAATGGAAACTGTGGTTAAGAAAAGGCCAAGAAAATGGCATAGAGTAACCTTTTACATTATGACAATGCACCTGCTCATTCTGCCAGGGTAGCAGGAGCTGTCCGAGAAGAACTTGGTCAGGCAACCTTCCCAATCCTCCCTACAGCCCTGACACTGCCCCACTCAGACTTCTCTCTATTCCCCAAATGCAGGGCATTTCAGAGGAACACAAGGTGGGTCCCTAATGAACGCCAGGCTTGTTTTGGCATGGTGCACAGTAAACACCACAGAGTTCCCTGGAGAAGAGCTGAACCCCACTGCTCTCAGGTCCGTTTTGACTCTTCGCCACCCTGCGTGGGGTTTCTGAGGCTATAAATCTTTACAGGGGCAGATAGCCTTGTCTTTCTCCAGAAAAATGACTGGTGGTTTTGAACCACCAACCTTGTGGGTTAGCAGCCTACAAGGGATGCTGGGGAAGTGTTCAATGAAAACAGCACCTTCAAAAATGTACTTTTCTAGATAGAGGAGCAAGTCAAAAAACAATTGGTTCACATTTTGATATTTCTGTTTAATAAAGGTTTCTATGATTTTGTAATAATACTTTATTATTTCCTCTCATACATACTAGTTGCCATGGAGTTAATGCTCACTCAAGAGTGACCCCACGTACGGGTCAGAGTAGAACTGTTCTTTGTAGCCTTTTAAGTGACTGGTGTTTCAGAAGTAGATCACCTGGACTTTCTTTTGGTGTCCCTCTGGATGGACTGACCTTCTCACCACGTAGCACACTCAAGTGTCCCACCCAGGGACTCCATAGACATCCTTCAACGTAGACATCCAACTGACTGCCATCGAGCCAGTACTGACTCATAGCGACCATAGAGCGCAGGGCAGCGCTGCTCCTGTGGGCTTAAGAGACTGGAATTCTTTTCTTA